GTGTGTGTATGTGCGTGCATGCGCGTGTAGAGGCATTCATGTGTATAATAAGGCTTCTCGATGTGGCTGAAATTTACATCTTCACTAGAGTTTTCAATAACGTGAGTTCTCCGGAATGGCAATAGAGCAAGTCGGATGCCAGTTCCGAGGCTTATTTTTTCTTTGTCATTACGGAATAAGGGAAAATTAGATTTTTTATTTTATTTTTTATCACCTAACATGTTGGTGTTTTTACAAAAGTGGGGTTCCAAACGTAGTTGCGGTACAGTTCCTGCATAACGGAAAGAAGACACTAGTACAAAACCCATTCATCGGTCCATCCAAACTAGGCTTTAGAACATTGTGCAAGTTTGACTATGAGCAAACTTCTCAAACTCTGAAAATGTACGCTCATGCGAGTTTGGGAGATGGCTCCAATCTCAGGGACAAGGAGTAGCCCTGCTTAATTTTATTGGAAAATGATTTGATAGGTTTTATCGGAAATCTTTTACATCGATCATCTCGATTTGAACATTATAGTTGTGAAAAGAAACTAGGATTACAAACTCTAAAAATAGTGTATATTATTATCTAGACTGCCCATTTTTTCTTAATAAGTGCTCACGGATTCACAAGATCCATACCATTTTTTGAGTTTCTAATTTTATTGTCGATGTTGAAAATTGATTTTAGAGCCATTATAAATTTCTGTAGCCAAAAGTTTTTTCCGGATGAGGATTTGAGGTGAGGCTTTATTTTGTTTTTATAAAGCCTAGGCCTTATAGAACCTCATCCTATTATTAATAATAAATCATTGCTTGAATGTTCAGTGAGCACAAAAACAAAGAATTAAACTTCCTCTCCTTATTTACCTAATTTCATGTAGGTACCACTAGTTACCTTCTACCCCGCGATTACTTGAGATTTAGATCAAGATAATAAAGAGGATACCCCCAAAAATTGGAAACCCATGCATATAATCTGAACGATATTGAGACTTAAGAGAGGCCAATGTAGAGAGAGAGTATGTGTATGTGTTCTATGTGGTTGTATTTTTGCCGGTGCTTGGCTTTTTGCATGTCAATGATATACTACAATAATTATTTTTTTAGCATTTTTTTTAAAATTTAATTATAAAAATAAAAAAATATTGTTAGTGTCACATATAAGCCATCTCTTCTTCTTTAAATGGTGTATGGATATATCATATTTCTTGGCATTTCTGATTTATATACCTATGAAACACGGACACGTATTCATGTCTATGTGACCTAATTATTAACTTAAGCTTTGCCCTTGAATGATAAATTACTAAGTGAATACTAGAGGATTGACATTTGCTTCTTCTTCTTTTTTTTCACCATTTTTCAGCAATTTTCTTTGTTTCTCTTCTATCTTTTACCTATTTTTATTTTAAGAAAACCCTTTTGATCTTCAAGTATTTATAAGATCTAAATCATTTTTTTTTTTTGATATGTGACATCTATCGGATGAAATAGATGATAGATTGAGTTTTCTTTTTCACTCTAAAATTGTTCCTTTTAAGTGTTCGTTTACTTTGCTTTTTGGTTTTGATTTTAATTTAGACCATCCATTTTATTTGGATAGTGTAGATCGAACACTATCTTAAAAAACGCACTATATATTGAGACTATATTAAAAGAATGTATTAATTCCACACGATCTAGTTAAAATGGATGGTATTTTCACAAATAAAGTTGCAACATTAAACAAACCGCACCCTTTAATTTATAGTTCTTGCTAGATAAAATCAAAAAATTGATTGTAATTGTAAGTGATTTTTTTTTTTTATTTGCCCTTTTTTCATTGCCTATATTTATTTTTTCCTCACTTTTTTTTAATACCTGTGGACCACCGATGCAACTCGTCAAGCTGACCAATTCAACTCAAAACCAATTTAATTCACAGGTTCCACTTCTCAAACCTTGCCTTATATACATGATTCTCACAAAAAATACATGGACCCTTGTAGAACTGTCAACCTATTTACATATTATTTACTGATCACATTTCATGTCTGAAATATCTATCTTCAAATAAGACTAAAAGATGAATATAAGACGTAAAAATTCACAATGCCTGTTTCTTGAGCCATTAACACATCGATAGTCTTGGGATCAACTGGGTTTCTCAAAACATCAGTGACGGGAAATGTATCTGTTGCTTTTCTACCCTTTGTAGTGATCTTAGACCTTGTGATACATAAGTTGTTTTCTCAAAATACTCCAATATTTGTAGTGATCTTAGACCTTGTGATACATAAGTTGTTTTCTCAAAATACTCCAATATTTGTAGTGATCTTAGACCTTGTGATACATAAGTTGTTTTCTCAAAATACTCCAATATTTGTAGTGATCTTAGACCTTGTGATACATAAGTTGTTTTCTCAAAATACTCCAATATTTGTAGTGATCTTAGACCTCGTAATACATAAGTTGTTTTCTCAAAATACTCCAATAACATCCGGATGGAGGTCAACCAGTGCAGGAAAAATCAGACGGCTCAAATTCAAACGGTCAAGTTTCGGTTTCAGCCGGTTTTGGTGAACCGGGTGTGGTATTTTGAAAAAACTTGAATAAAATCCCAAAAAATAAGAGATTTTGTTTTTAATGCATTTTGTTATGATTTTCATCCTTTTGCCAAACTTAAAAATTGTTTTGGCCATTATTAATTATTTTATATTTTTCTATCTTTTTTGGATAAATTCAACAATACTCTTGGGAACAAATCGATTGTTTAAAATCTTTGTTTGATCATATTTTAAATATACTTTTTATATTTTATTAAAATAATTTTTTTTTAAACATTTTTTTTATTGCTCGGGACTTGCCGGTTAGGCTAGTTGAACGACCGAATTTACCTGTTAGTACCGCATAACCGCTTTAGGCCCATGTCGGGTTAACTAGAACCTACACTGAGGTCAACCCTGTCTTGTATACATAACTCCAACTCATGTCCCTGCAAAACGCAAATCAGGAACGCCGAAAAAACCATTGAGTGAGAGAGAGAGAGAGTGAGGAAGAGGTTCGAATGATGAATTTGGGATGGAATAACAAAGTGGCCCAAATGGGATCCGTAAGTCCGAAGGGATATTGATTTTAGGGGATATAAGCTTTTAACAAACCCGTCTTCATTTCTCAGCAAGTAGATAATTACCGTAGTCTTGGCTAATGTGCGTAAGCCTCCGAACTCGAACAGTCCAGCTGGTCCGGTCTAGTCTAGTCGGATTCGTAAGAACATGGATTACACACTATACATAATCGGCCTTGTAAAAAGAGGATCGTGAAGAAACTAGATTTTTAATCTATATTTCTGATACTATCGTCTTTGAGCGAAATGAGTTTGTGTGCAAGAGATAAAAATGGGTTGTACTTAAAAATAAATAGTAGTTTAGGTTATGCTCTCAACCGTTGAATCAGGTGGTTGAAAATATATGTCACTCTTTAAATTTTAATCTTTTTTATACAAATCAGTTTAAGCTATAAATTTTAGACGCATATACTTGACATTATCACACACTGTGTAAAAATATTTTGAAAAATATAAAATGAACAAATTACCCCAATCATTTTTAGGGGTAGTTTGATCATTTTAAATTTGAGAAAATATTTGTTTTATACTTTTTCCTTTTACGCTCCATTATGGGGTACTCATCCAAATTTCATTTTGATCCAATTTGTAGAAAAAATATTTTAAATTTAAATCGTAACGTACGTTTACAACTATCTTATCAAGATCTAACCGCTGAGGCTATAACCTAAACTACTAT